AGCTGCGCGGGCTTCACTGGGGCTCTGTGTGGAGGCACGCAGGCTGCCCCTCCCTGGCAGTGGGGCGTCAGGGCTGCCACAGGACACCCCGGGCGGGGATGCAGGTTGAGTAGGAGCTGAGGGGCGTGTGGCAGAGGCAAGAGCCTCCCGTTGCCATTCACCCCTGGAAGAATGTCTTCTGTCACAAAGGCCCCGAAAGTGCTGATTCACGATTTCTTGAGCACCTTTGGTACCATTGAACATACAGGCCCAGTCTGAACATCGAGTTCAGTGCGAGAGACGTGGCTTTGGTACAGTGTCAGGACTTGGGGGGCGCTACCCCTTGCCTGTCAGTCAGTCCCCTGTGTGTGGACCACCTTGCTGTATTTCAGTGAGAAAAGCACATTAGAAACCAAAATTGGGTCTTTATTTGTTTATTTGAAAGAGTGGCAGAGACAGAGAGGCCTTCCAGCTGCTGGTTCACTGCCCGAATGCGCACAACCACCAGCACTGGGCCAGGCAGAAGCCGGGAGCCACCGGCTCCACAGGGATCTCCCGCGTGGCCGGCAGGGGCCCTGGCAGTTGAGCGGCCATCCCTTTCTGCTTCCCAGGCACATGAGCAGGAAGCTGAACTGGAAGCACAGAGTAGCCGCGGCTTGAACCAGTATGGGATGCAGGTATCCCAAGCACCGGCTTAACCTGCTGCACCGCAAGGCCCACTCCTGAAATCGGCTTTTGTTGGGACCGGTGTTGTGGTGCAGCGAGTTAAGCCACCACTTGCAACACCAGCGTCCGCTGTGAGTGCTGGTTTGAGTCCCGGCTGCGCTACTTCTGATCCAGCTCCCTGCTAGTGTACGCGTGGGAAAGCAGCAGAAGGTGGCCCAAGGGCTTGGGCCCCTGCCACCCATGTGAGAGGTCCTGGTGGTGTTCCCAGGCCCCTGGCTTCGGCCTGGCCCAGCCCAGGCACTTGGGGAGCTGCAGGCATTTGGAGAGTGAGCTGGTGGATAGAAGATCTCTGTCTCTCTCTGTCTCTTTCTCTCTCTCTCTCTCTGCCTTTCAAAGAAACACTTTTTTTTTTTAATGGCTTTTGCTGTTTCGTTCCTGCTCTAAACCTCCCTGAGCTGGCTCGCCGTGAGGAAATCCCATGGAGCATTGGTTCTCTGCCCTGCCGTAGTCTGTGGGCGCCGTGACCCCAGAGCCCGGGTCCCGCTCCCTGCCAAGGCGCTGGCTGAGAGGTAAAGGAGGCCGTGTGGCCGAGAAGGCCCGAGGCTGACTGTGCACTGCCACTGCAGGTGTCCCCTCAGGCCTGCCTGCTCCCGCCACTGTCTCGTCTCTGTGAAGACAGTCACTTCCTTCCTGTTTGGTTCTCTGCAGCCCAGAGCCTGGGACAGATTGCACGCAGTAGGCGCTCAGTAAATCCTCACAGCCAGCATAGCGGGTGCTGTGCTCTTTTGTCCTTGAGTGTCTGGGAGCGAGGCCTGCACATGGTTCCCGCCGCATACTCTGGCTTAGGGTCTGTTGGCTCCTTTCACACACATTAGGTTCTCGCCTTCATCTTTGCAATGACACTTCTCCACCTTGTTGCTGCAGAGGCAGAGAGAGAGAGAGGGAGAGACACTTCCCAAATGTTGCAACGGCTGGAGCTGGGCCAATCCGAAGTCAGGAGCCGGGAGCTTCCTCCAGGTCTCCCATGTGGGTGCAGGGGCCCAAGGATGTGGGCCATCTTCTACTGCCTTCCCAGGCCATAGCAGAGAGCTGGATGGGAAGTGGAGCAGCCAGGACCCGAAGTGGCGCCCATATGGGATGCCGGCACTGCAGGCAGCGGCTTTTGTTGCTACGCCACAGCGCTAGCCCTGAGGAACACTTTTTGAACTATGAGCCTATTCAGAATACAATTTAGGAAGCTGACTCTGGGGCTGAAAATACTTTAAAAACTGTTTGAGGGGGGGCCGGGGGAGCAGGCATTGTTGCACAGCAGATGAAGGCCCACATCCCATGTAGGAGTGCCTGGATCTTTGGCTCCAGCTTCCTGCTGGTGTGCACCCCGGGAGGCTGCAGGTGATGGCTCCCTACGGTGCGCCCCTGCCACTCATGTAGGTTGTAGGGGAGCAGGATGGAGCTCCAGGCTCCTGGCTTCAGCCGGGCCCAGCCCTGGCCGCTGCATTCAGGGAGTGAGCCACAGGTGGGAGATCTTGCCCACTGTTTCTCTGCCTTTTCAAATAATAAAACTTACAGGGGGGATTATTTATGGTTTTAGAATTTTTTAAAAAAGATTTATTTATTTATTTGAAAGAGTTACAGAGAGAGAGGAGAGGCAGAGAGACAGAGGTCTTCCATCCGATGGTTCACTCTCCAGATGGCCGCAATGGCCAGAGCTGGGCTGATTTGAAGCCAGGAGCCAGGAGCCAGGAGCCAGGAGCCAGGAGCTGCTTCCGGGTCTCCCATGTGGGTGCAGGGGCCCAAGGACTTGGGCCATCTTCCACTGCTTTCCCAGGCCATAGCAGAGAGCTGGACAGGAAGAGGAGCAGCCGGGACTTGAACCGGTGCCCATATGGGATGCTGGCACTTCAGGCCAGGGCATTAACCCACTGTGCCACAGCACCGGCCCCTATGGTCTTAGATTTACATGGAGGTGACAGTTGCACAGCCCTCTTTGTACTAAAACGCCCTCAGTTGTATACTTTATTTTTTTTTTTTATTGGACAGGTAGAGTTATAGACAGAGAGAGAGAGAGAGAGAGAAAGGTCTTCCTTCCGTTGGTTCACTCCCCAAATGGATGCTACGGCCGGCGCTGCGCCGATCCGAAGCCAGGAGCCAGGTGCTTCCTCCTGGTCTCCCATGCGGGTGCAGGGCCCAAGGACTTGGGCCATCCTCCACTGCCTTCCCGGGCCACAGCAGAGAGCTGGACTGGAAGAGGAACAACCAGGACTAGAACCTGGCACCCATATGGGATGCCGGCGCCGCAGGCGGAGGACTAACCAAGTTAGCCATGGCGCCGGCCCCAAGTTGTACATTTTATTTTATTTATTTTTTTTTGTTTTGTTTTGTTTTTTTTTTTTTTTGACAGGCAGAGTGGACAGTGAGAGAGAGAGACAGAGAGAAAGGTCTTCCTTTTGCCGTTGGTTCACCCTCCAATGGCCGCCGCGGCCGGCGCGCTGCGGCCGGCGCACCGCGCTGATCCGATGGCAGGAGCCAGGAGCCAGGTGCTTTTCCTGGTCTCCCATGGGGTGCAGGGCCCAAGCACCTGGGCCATCCTCCACTGCACTCCCTGGCCACAGCAGAGGGCTGGCCTGGAAGAGGGGCAACCGGGACAGAATCCGGCGCCCCGACCGGGACTAGAACCCGGTGTGCCGGCGCCGCTAGGCGGAGGATTAGCCTAGTGAGCCGCGGCGCCGGCCCCAAGTTGTACATTTTAAATTGTTAATGGTTGATGTTATGGTACGTGAATTTTACCTCAATTAAAAAAAAAAGTATTTCTGAGGCCACAGTACAGGACTTAGGCTTAAGTTTCAAAGATTACCAAGAGGGAAGAAGGATGGGAATATCCTTAGGTTCTTAGAACTGTAGCTACAAAACATATCAAATCTGTTGAAAACTGATTAAAAATTAAAAAAAAAAACAAAAAACTAGTAGTTGAGTGGAGGAGCTGGCAACCTAGGACCCGAAGTGACCCACAGCTGTGGGTGCAAAGTTATAAGCATGGTCCTCTTACGGCACACACTTATTCAGACTTTATTTATTTACTGATTGATTTATTTGAAAGGCAGAGAGAAAGAGAGCGAGCGAGCTTCCATGCGCTGGATCCGGAACTTAATCCAGGTCTCCCACGTGGGTAGCAGCGGCCCAAGTCCTTGACTCGCCCCTGCGCGCATACAGACCGTATTGAATGTGAAGAGCCCTATTACTCCTGTGTTTGCAGCTTTGGGTGCACCGTTTGCCGGGAGGGGGATGGCCCCGGCCAGCCAGCTCGGGAGCCAGCAGCACGTTTGCGTCTCCTCATGGGGATGAGCGTCGCCATCTCGGTCAGAGGACACCTTGTCGCGGGGCCCGTGTCCCACACCTGTCCACGCCGGGGACACTGAAACCAGCTCCCTAGAGCTGACTTGCGTCTGCAACTTGTCCACTGTCCACCCGGGGGGCTGGGCCTCTTGCAGACACTCGGTTCACTTTATTTATTTTATTTTTGACAGGCAGAGTGGACAGTGAGAGAGAGAGACAGAGAGAAAGGTCTTCCTTTTTGCCGTTGGTTCACCCTCCAATGGCCGCTGCGGCCGGCGCATCGCGCTGATCCAAAGCCAGGAGCCAGGTGCTTCTCCTGGTCTCCCATGGGGTGCAGGGCCCAAGTACTTGGGCCATCCTCCACTGCACTCCTGGGCCATAGCAGAGAGCTGGCCTGGAAGAGGGGCAACCAGGACAGAATCCGGCGCCCCGACTAGGACTAGAACCCAGTGTGCCGGCGCCGCAAGGCGGAGGATTAGCCTAGTGAGCCACGGCGCCAGCCTTTGGTTCACTTTAAAGGCACACTAGAGGGGGCGCCGGATTCTGTCCCGGTTGCCCCTCTTCCAGGCCAGCTCTCTGCTGTGGCCCGGGAGTGCAGTGGAGGATGGCCCAAGTGCTTGGGCCCTGCACCCCATGGGAGACCAGGAGAAGCACCTGGCTCCTGGCTTTGGATCAGCGCGATGCACCGGTCACAGCGCACCAGCTGTGGCGGCCATTGGAGGGTGAACCAACGGCAAAAGGAAGACCTTTCTCTCTGTCTCTCTCTCTCTCACTATCCACTCTGCCTGTCAAAAAAAAAAAAAAAAAAAAAAAAAAAAAAAAAAAAAAAAAAGGGCACACTAGAAACCAACAGCGTTTCTCTGCCGAGCATCTCGGTAGCCACGGCGGGTGCGTGTGCATCCTGTCTCGTGGCCACCCGACTCCTGGGAGCTGCACCACAGGGGCCGGGCTGGCCGCTGGCACCTCCCCTGGCCGCGCTGGCCAGGTTGCTGTGAAGCTGTGCTCAGCGTCTTACTGGAGAGCAGAGTCCCCTGCCACAGGCTCCTTTTCCCAGCACTGAACGCACCGGGGACAGCCTGAAGTACTCCCAGCCTGCCATCTGCCTCCACCAGTGCCAGCCCGCACTGCTTTAAACCCAGGGCCTCCGGGCTCGCATCCCAAAATACACCCCATGGGCCGCTCGGCCGGGGCTTGTCCCAGCATTCCAGGGAGGGCCTGCTGACTCGAAGGTATCCTCTGGCTTCTGGCCTCAGCCGCTCTGCCCGAGGCCCAGGACCTGCCACGGGCACCGTAGCCGCCACCTGAGGTAGGATATTGTTCTTTCTTTCCAGTCAAAGGCAGCTTCTCAGACACTTGAAATAAAATGAAGCAGCTTTATTCTGCTTTTACTTTGTGGAGATAGGGACTTTTTTCAGATGTGGGTCCCGAGCATGGCCCGTGGCTGTGTCACCTTAAATAGACCAGCTGATCAGAGCTGGTGGTCACTTAGGAAACGCAGGGCTCTGCGGACGTGTGTGGGAACAGCGCCCTGTGTGCTCCCGGGGTCCCGAGCGGGCTCCCTCTCTGCCCTCTGCCCTTCGGCCTGCTCTCCTGGAACATGGCAAACCGTACCTCAACTAATCCTTCTGACAGGCCTCCGTTCATTCTTTCTTGAGCTTCAGAGGGTTTTCAGATTCTCCCCTTTGATTCCCAGATACAGGTGTCCCGTTTCCATGCATGCTTTCTGGGTGGACACCAACAACCTGTTTTCCTGGACAAGTCATGTTTGTTTGTTTGTTTGTCTGGCTGGCTGGAGCCAAGAAGGGAGTCTTGGGAACAGAATCCATCTGTGGGACGCAGTGCAGGGCCCAAATGCCCAAGTACAAAGGGTGGGATGCCTGGCAGAAAGGGAGGCGTTCCTGGCCAGAGCAGCTTTCTCATTTCTGGTTTGAAAGTCCTTTAAAAGCACCCCCGGGGAGCAGCTGAACTCCAGGGAAACCTCACGACCCCAACTTCCCCAGTTCTACTGGACGGGGCCTCTCCCCCGCTCTGCGCGCCTAGCCCAGGTGAGAGTGCCCTGACCTGGTGGCACACGGAGGATAGGGGCAGGTGGGCGTGGCTCATCCGCCCACACCCCCGTGGTTGATGGCTTTGCATACGCCTCAGTTGTGGGTGCTGCATCCTTCTGATGACCACTGCATGACGGCTTCTGTTGTGGGGGTGTCTCCTCCCTTCTTTTCTGGCCCCGCCCTCTCCCTCTGTGTCCCTGTCCTGCTTCCTGCCAGGGCTCACAGGGGTGCTGGACAGACTGTCCCTTCTACTGGAAAGGAAACTGTGAGCGAGTTGCATTGTTCCCTAGCCCCTTTTTAATACGATCAGTCCTGCCTTCCCAGGCCGTAATCTGGCCGTATGTGTGAGAGGAGCAGTTACGAAGCATTCGGTGTCAAAGCCTCAATGTATAAGCTTGTTAGAGTGAGCCCGCGTCACGTACTTCCCTGAGAAAGCAGCTCCCCCTGCGTCACGGGGCGATCTGCCTCCTGGTCTGCAAGTGTGGCAGCTGGGACGCGGTTCCCTCCTGCTGAGGCAAGACGGCCACAGCTGCCACAGCAAGGTGGCTCCCTCCCATCGAGGTCCTGGCTGCCCAGGACAACAGGAAGGAGTTGGCACAGCTCTTGCTGGTAGCCTCGCTCCCCAAGGGCCCATCGCTGTGACCAGGTGCACCGGGGAAGCTGTGGTGACCCTGAACCTGATTTTCAGCCAAGTGGCCGGCCGTGCAGTCTGCCTTCCACCACCCTCCTGCCCCAGCCCGGGAGAGTCAGTGCCGACTCCTGGTCTCCTGTGCCTCCCGGTGCTGTCCCGGCTTGCCACACTGAATGCACCTGTGCGCTCTCCCCACAGACAGTGGCCGTGGGCGAGGATGGAGCCTGTCCACCCGGCGCCACGTTTGCCCCCAGGGCCGGGAGACCCAGGCTGGCCCGCGCTGTTGAGTCAGGCGCTCACGGAATCCCACACGTGTCCCAGACGGTGTGTAGCTCTCTCTTTTTCTTCATGTCCCGGCTGGCTGGCTTGAGTTCTGATTCGGTTGCATGAAATTGCGGTGTGAGGGGGAAGCTTCGCCAGTCTTCCGCTGGGGCCCTTCCTCAGGGGGAGCCCTGCCCGGCCAGTCCGTGTTCACACTGCTCCTCCCCGGTGCACAGCAGGTGCCTGTGTGCTCACTGTCTGCTGTGCTGGCCTTGACACGAAACTTGCGGTCGCAACACGGGATCGTGGCTGCCTCTGGGGACATCATTAAGTCAAAGGGCTTGCGGAGGCCTCACGGACAAACTGCACTGAACTCCGTGTTTAATGAGTGTCCTTCCTTTGCCAAGAAAACCCCAGTACTCATGAACCAGGGGCTCTGTCAGGCCGCCTTGGAAATCTAGTGGTTGGGAAATGCATTCTGTGCAGTGTGGGGGGTGGGGGTGCCAGTTCATTGTGGGCAGCTGTGTTGCAGCCCCACGTGACTCATCTAACCTCAGACCACACCTGGGTGTGGGGGGGAGCGGGGTGCTCCCACCCTCCCCTGAGGGTTAGGCTCCTTCCCCCAGGCTGCTGGGTGGCTGAAGCAGGCTACCTCTGGAACCTGTGCATTTTGGGAGGCAACAGGCTGCGTGCTTGATGCTTAAGCCCCATGGCCTTGCGTGGGGCTCTGGGCCCTGGCCCCAGGGCTGAGTGCTGCCATCCCTCCCTAAGCAGCACCCCCAATCCCTCTCCACCCCCTGCTCCTTGCAGCAGTGGCTGGGCCCTGGGCCGCTCTGGGCAAGGCAGGGTGGTCCCGCTCAGAGCCCTGCCCGACACAAGCGCCTGGAATTGCAGTGCGGAAAAAAGCTTTTCCCAAACAGCCACCCAGCTGGGTTGAATTCTGCCTGGCCTGGCCGTTTGTTGTGTGAAAGTTCTAAGCTCTGTTTACCTCAAGGCCTACCCGTGCTTTCTGTCACTTGCTGTCATTTCCTGTTTGTTGGTGTACCAGCAAAAAGCTCCTCATTCCTGCCCTACCCCCACCCCACCCCGCAGTTACTGCTCCTGCCCCCCGGAAGCCCTCTCAGTCCCTGCATTCAGGGGCCAGGCCCCGTGGAAGACCCCAGGCAGCACTGCAGAACCAGGATGGCGTGGACACCAGTGCCTGTTCTGAGCCAGGGTCCGTGGGGCCCGGCACCTCCCTGGGACTCGGCGTAGCCTGTGGCCCGAGCACACCTGGGCTGAGCATCCTGTGGTGGGCAGGGACGGTTCCAGCAGCACCTGGGGAAGGAGCTTGGCGCTTGCGATGCCACCTTCATTCCCAGCTCCTCAGGGTGTGCTTGGCACGACGTAGGCTCAGAGGGAAACGCATCCACTTAGCCTTTAGAAGTGGACTGAGTGGCAGTTGATAGAAAACAGTCTTTTTTTTTTTTACAACCCAAAAACATTGTTCCTTTTGGGTGGATCAAGAACTTAGGTGTCCCGGTTGCCCCTCTTCCAGGCCAGCTCTCTGCTGTGGCCCAGGAGTGCAGTGGAGGATGGCCCAAGTGCTTGGGCCCTGCACCCCATGGGAGACCAGGATAAGCACCTGGTTCCTGCCATCGGATCAGTGCGGTGCGCTGGCTGCGGTGGCCATTGGAGGGTGAACCAACGGCAAAGGAAGACCTTTCTCTCTGTCTCTCTCTCACTGTCCACTCTGCCTGTCAAAAAAATAAATAAATAAATAAAAGAACTTAGGTGTATTTGGAAAGGCAGGTTTGTGGTGGCCATTCCAGCTGGAGGCAGCGCTGTTGCCTGGCGGGGGGTTCCCTTAGGTCAGGGCAGCCCTTGAACGTGAAAGCGGAAAAGTGTTGTAAGTTTGTGGGGCTGAGGCCCTGCGGCACTTAGTACGTGGGTGAGGGTTTTGCATACTCTCGCGTGTTCCCAAGCTGATGAAGGATTTAAAGCTTCAGGCTGGGGTGGACACTGGGGACTTGGGACACCTGTGTTGCACAGTGGAGGGCCTGGTTTGAATCTGAGCTAGTCTGCTTTTTTTTTTTTTTTTTTTTTTTTAATTTATCTGTTTGGAAGTGTGGGGAGCAACCCGGACTAGACTAAGTTACTGGAATTAAGACTTATTCTATGCATCTGCTCTCCCACAATATGGCGCTGAGAAGGGAGAAACAGCTTCTACACAGCTGCCTCCAGTTCAACCAATAAACAGCAGGACCTGCTCCTGATTGGAGGAGAGCAGCGTACTCGGCGTGTGGGTAGCAGAGTTGGGATTGGTGGAAGAGGACTATAAAGGAGGAGAGAGACAACATGTACTGGGAACATCTATCTGAAGGAACACCTGTGCAGCCCCCGAGAGAGCTGGCCGGCGGTGTGCCGCTCCCCCGTGGAAGTGGGGAAAGTGGCTAGGGGGAACCGCCCTTCCACGGAGGTGGAAGGGACGGTAGCCAACCCGGGAAGAACCAGCAGCAAACCCGGGGAGGGCCGAGCAGACAAAAGAACAGCGCAGGGTCCTGTGTCATTCCTCCACGAAGAGGGGGAGCGACATAATGGTTCCGTGACTCGGATATGAAGCCTAGGCAGGGTTTAGTGTCGTTCCTCCACGAAGACGGGGAGCGACATAATGGTGCCGTGACTCGGATATGAAGCCTAGACAGGGTTTAGTGTCGTTCCTCCACGAAGACGGGGAGTGACATAATGGTGCCGTGACTCGGATAGGAAACCTAGGAGGGAAGAAGCGGGAAGAAGTGGGAAAATACCGGAGAGACTAGCAAAGAGCCTAGGGAAAGCCGGACGGAAAATGTGCCAGAAGAAGCTATTGAAAGCCTAGGCATAGACTCGGATATGGACTGTGGGAAAGAAGTTAGGATTAAAAGCGAAAGTGAAAGCTTTCATAGACTCCGATGCAGACTATGGCGGGGAAGCTAGGAGATTGAAAGTGAAAGTGAAACCTGGAGGAGGCTTGGACTCGGATACGGACTGTGGGGAGAAGCCAGGAGAAATGAGGGAGGAATATTGTTGGAAGAAAACTTAGGGAAACATACCGGGTAGAGAAAAATGTTAGGGAAATTGAAGCCGAGGGGGGCAGGCCGAGGCGGAGACGTAAGCCAGCTTGGAATTCTTTAAGTCAGCCCGGGGAGCAAAAGGCGAAAAGTTAAACCAGAGGCGGAAACGTGGGCCAGGTTGGAATCCGTCAGATTAGCCCGGGGAGCAAAAGACAGGAAGCCAAACCATAAGGCGGAGACGCGTAAGCTAGGTTGAATTCGCCAGGTTAGCCTGGGGAACTTAGATTGAATACTGGTGGTGGCGGAAACGTAAGCTACGCTGTGTGACTCGCGGAAGCTGCCGCGTGCAGAGAGAGCGTGCGGGGCGTGAATAGATAGGGAACGTGGGGCTAGTGCGAGGCTGTGGTGCGGGCGCGAAGGGGCGCGGAGACCGCAGAGTGCACGCGCGAAGCCGGGAAGCCACGCAGATGAGAGAAGCATGGGCTGAAGTGGCTCAGACCTGGGAAGCCGCCGAGAAGCAGCCTCGGGGCGGGCGCCGGGAAGCCGCAGGGATAAGAGAAACAGAAGTTTAGAAGTAAAATGAGAGAAATAGGAATGCTGGTAGATAGAAGTAAAATAGGAGAAATAGGAATGCCCGGAGATAGAGAAATAGAGAAAAATAAGGCCTCCCCTCAACATAGCAATGAGAGAGCTTGGATTTGGTCTGCCTGATTAGGGAGGTGGTGAGCACCTGCGGGCGGCTAGCAGCTTATGCGCCGCAGGTCACTGAAGACAGGCACGAATTAACATCAATAAGTCTCCCCACAATACGGCAATGAGAGGGCTTGGATTCGGTCTGCCTGATTGGTAGGGCTTGTAAGCACCTGCAGGCAGTTCTAGCAGAACAGAGCATGTGCTGCAGGGCACCGAACACAGGCACGCATCAGCACCTAAAAACCTCCTCACAACATGGCAAAGAGAGGACCCGGATTCGGTTTGCCTGATTGGTAGGGCTTGTAAGCACCTGTGGGCAACTCTAGCAAGCAGAGCAGAGTGTGTGCCGTGGGGCACCGAAGACAGGTGTGTATCAACGCCAAAAAATAAAAAGAAAGGGGGATCTGTGGGGAGCAACCCGGACTAGACTAAGTTACTGGAATTAAGACTTATTCTATGCATCTGCTCTCCCACAATATGGTGCTGAGAAGGGAGAAACAGCTTCTATACAGCTGCCTCCAGTTCAACCAATAAACAGCAGGACCTGCTCCTGATTGGAGGAGAGCAGCGTACTCGGCGTGTGGGCAGCCGAGTTGGGATTGGTGGAAGAGGACTATAAAGGAGGAGAGAGACAACATGCACCAGGAACAGCGCAGGGTCCTGTGTCGTTCCTCCGCGAAGAGGGGGAGCGACATAATGGTGCCGTGACTCGGATATGAAGCCTAGGCAGGGTTTAGTGTCGTTCCTCCACGAAGACGGGGAGCGACAGGAAGTCAGAGTTACCAAGAAGGAGGGGCAGAGGCAGAGAGAGATCGAGATCTTCTGTCCGCTGGCTCGTTCTCCAAATGGCTGAAGCCAGGAGCCAGAAGCTTCTTCCAGGTCTCCAACGTGGGTGCAGGGGCCCGAGCACTTGGGCCATCTTCTACTGCTTTCCCAGGCCACAGCAGAGAGCTGGATCGAAGTGGAGCAGCCGGGACTAGAACCAGTGCTCACAGGGGATGCCGGCACTGTAGGCGGAGGATTTACCCACTATGCCGCAGCCCCGGTCCCTAGCTTCCTGTTGATGCAAACCCTGGGAAGCAGCAGGCGACGGCTCAGGTGGTTGGATTCCTTTTGCCCGTGTGGGAGGCCCGGGTTGAGTTCCAGGCTCCTGGCTTTGGCCCGGTCCAGCTCTGGCTGTTGCAGAGTGAGCAAACAGACCTGTTTCTCTTTTACCTCTCTGCCTTCCAAATGAAATGAAAATAAGTAAAGGAAAACTGAAGCTTCGGGCTGGCTCTCCAGGGTGCTGTTCTGGGTTGGCAGCGCCTTCCTTCCTGAAAAGGATTCCTGTGGTCATAGCACCGCAGCCCTGGGGGCTGACGGGGGCCTCTGGCCTGCTTGTCAAGCCCCTCCCCACCCCCACTTCTCACTAGCTCATCCTTTGCCTTCCTTCCCTGGCAGTGGCTTTGGGTACAGGAGCATGGGTGAGTGACAAGAAATAGGGGGGCTCAGGGGGCACAATAAAAGTAAGAGCATCCATGGGAAAAAGTGATACATTTCCAGAAGACGGCAGCACACTTGACGAACGCTCACGTGGCCGACAGGGTCCACGGAGACTGCCCAGCGAGAACGCCGTGTGTGTGTGTGTGTGTGTGTGTGTGTCTGTCTGTCTGTGGGCGGTGGCACAGTGCAGCCCTGCCCTGAGCTCCGTGGGGCATCCGTGGGCCTGTGGTCGGAGGCTCCTCTGTGGTGTCACAGCTGCCGCCCAGAGCTGTCCTGCCCGGAGGCCCCTGTCCCTCGAGTGTTTGCTTAGAGGTGCAGAAGTGCCACGGTTCCCTTTTTCCTTTGCTTTAAAACCATTTTTTTAAAAGAGTCCCTGAGCTGGGTGATAGCCTCAGCGTGTGCTCTGGGGACCGCGTGGGGTGGCGTAGCTGGAGAACAAGCGACGCGGAGCGCAGGGTCTGGAAGCCCCTGGCCGGGGCTCAGAGCGAGGGCAGTTGGGAGCGGGCAGTGTGGCAGTCCCGGGAGGGGCCTGGGCCCTGCCGCTCTGCCACTGCTCTGTCTGGTTTTGTGTCTCCCAGGAGGAGTCTGCTGCGAGTGCGGGCCATGGACTTCCTCACGTCCACCGCCATCCTGCCCCTGCTCTTTGGCTGCCTGGGCATCTTCGGCCTCTTCCGCCTGCTGCAGTGGATGCGAGCCAGGGCGTACCTGCGGGGGGCTGTGGTGGTGATAACGGGCGCCACGTCGGGTCTGGGGAGAGGTAGGTCCCGAGGTGGGGCTGGGGGGGGGGGGCGGCGGCACGCCAGGGGTGTGGAGCAGCTGCGCTGGACACAGGAAGTGCAGATCAGGGGGCGGCCGGACGTCACCATCAGTGGTCCTTTGGAAAAAGCTGGGGCTTAAGTGCATTGCGAAGTGGCCCTGACTCTCTGCCTTGGGGTGGGGCCAAAGCCAGTTCTGACTCAGGCCAGCTGGAGACTACGTGGGCAGCCTCACTCTGCTCCAGCTGCTTATTTTTTGTTAAAAACGTCATTTTATTATTTATTTGAAAGACAAGGAGAGAGAGGTCTTCCATCTGCTGTTCACTTCTCAAATGGCTGCAATGGCCAGGGCTGGGCCAGGCTGAAGCCAGGAGCCAGGAGCGCCATCCAGGTCTCCTATGCAGGTGCAGGGACCCAGGCACTTGGGCCATCCTCCCATTGCCCTCCCAGGCGCATCAGCAGGGAGCTGGGTCAGGAGTGGAGCAGCCAGGACTTGAACAGGCGCTCCGATATGTGATGCCTGTGTCACAGGCAGTGGCTTAAGCTGAGCCACACACCAGCCCCCTCCAGCTGCTTAGTGAAATGGGGGGGGGGGGGTGTCTCTGTGTGGAAGTTCAGAATCTTCAGACAACAGACAACTAATTTGAAAAATGTTTTTAGGTTCCATTCTGATTCGTGAATACCCCGCCTCCGAGTTTCAGGGACTGTGTGCTGGGATGAGGGCCTGGAGTCGGTCGGTCAAGCCCCCGCCCACTCCCCCTGGACAGAGGAGCTGCAGAGGCCTTGTCCCTTGCCCTCTACGTACAGGCGTGCCGCACTGTGCCCCCTGCCCTCCAGCCTCGGCTTCTGCACGCGAGCACACGGCACACTAGCACGCCTTCCCCTTCCCAGTGCGGTTCCGCGGGCCAAGCGCTAGGGCAACAGAGGAGAGGCAGGGTCCCTGCCCTCCAGGGGGCCGCAGTCCACGGAGAAGGGCGCCTTTGCCTCCTGGTGTTGCCGTGCCACCAGGGACGTTCGCAGCGGGCCTGCTGGGCCAGGCGCATGTGGGCGTCCTCCTTTGCTCAGCAGTTTGAGGCGCGTGGTCTCACTGGATGCCCAGAGCTGAGAGGCCGTGCCCTGTGGGACCCAGAACTCACCGTCCGGAAGCCTCACCTGGCGAGACGGTGGGGCCGCCAGGCGGTGGGACTAGAGATGGGTGCAGGCAGGCGGGTCCTGCCTGGAGGGTGAGGGAGGGGCCCGCAGCCTGGCTTCACTCGTAGGCCCCTGTGGATAGGAGGTGACGCATGGGGACATGGGGGTGAGTGCCACCTCTGGCACTGGAGCTGCAGGCTTTCCAACGGACAGCTGCCTCCAGGCTCGCTGCCACCTGCCTGTCCTCGGACCTGACTCAGCTCCTATGTATAGGCCCGGCAGCAGCCGCTGCGCTGGCTCCCAGAGAGGAAGTGGGTCTGCGAGCTGGCTGGGGCGGAGCGGCGAGCGGCAGGTGCCCCCGAGTGCCCTCCTCGGTCCCACCCGCTGCCCGACCGCACCGTGGAGGGAGGAGACAGCACACTTGAGAAAAGCAAGCCTCTGTCCTAGGGCCCAGGGCGTTCTCTCTGAAGAGGGGCTCACAGGGGGCAGTCACTCTGCTTATGCTGTCGCAGGGAAAGCGGGGACAGGTTCTTTTTTTTTTTTTAAATATTTACTTATTTATTTTGAAAGAGCTACACAGAGAGAGGAGAGGCAGAGAGAGAGAGAAAGAGAGAGAGAGGCATTTCATCTGATGGTTCACTCTGGCTGGAGCTGGGCCAATCTGAAGCCAGGAGCCAGGAGCTTCTTCTGAGTCTCCCATGCAGGTGCAGGGGCCCAAGGACTTGGGCCATCTTCTACTGCTTTCCCTGGCTATAGCAGAGAGCTGGATGGGAAGTGGAGCAGCTGGGACTCGAACCGGCGCCCATATGGGATGCCGGCACTTCAGGCCAGGGCGTTAACCTGCTGCGCCACAGCGCCAGCCCCAGGGACAGATTCTTAACCACTGGCCACCTCGAGTGTGACACCGCCGTGGCTGCCGCCGAGGACGCACTGCTGTGCCGTGGCTTCTAGGAGGGCCCGCTGGCCGTGCCAGCTCCGTGGAGGGTTGGGATTGCGCGGTGTCCAGACGGCTCCCTGTCTCTCTCCCGGCGGTCTCCTGTTTTGTGTGTTTAGGCTACGTGAGCTGCCCTTGTAGAACAGTAGAACCATTGAGTAGACGCACAGAATGTTCTGGATGCCTGCTTCAGCCAGCCCGAGCCGCACGGCCCTCACAGCTCTCCTGATTTATGAGCAGGCGTGCCGGCGGCACTGCACCGGCGCCTGCAGCCCCGGAGACACGGTGCCTTGGAGCTGTCCCCCCCCCTCCCCCCCGCCCCGACCTTCCTGTCTCCCTGAGGAAAGGCCGGTGGACTGCTTCCAGTCTCTTGTTCCCATGTCTGTCCCCGCCCTGCACAACATCTACTTCCTGCCGCCCCGGAGAGCGGAGAGCGGAGAGCGGGAGCAGAACCGAGGCGCCCGTCTTGGAGTGGTGATGTGCAGCACGCCTCCCTCCGTGTTCTGCGTCTTTGCCCCTCGGTAGCACCTTGCAGCGTGGTCCAACAGGAGGAAAAAACCAACTGAGCCCCAGGTTCCCGTCTTCGGGGATGCCTGAGCAGCCCCTCAGGAACGCTGGCACCGGCTGGGAGGGCCGCCCCGCCCCGCCCCACACTCACAGGCCTCTCACCAGGAAGGGGCTGGCGCTCAGGCCACGCCAGACCACCCCGGGACAGGCAGTAACTGTCTGCCCTTCTGTCCAGCGGGCCGGTGAACAAACCCAGGAGAAGCTGAGGAACACACCTGAGGGATGCCTGCCTTCCATCTCAGCCCCTCCTTCCGGGGAGCTCCAGGGGAGGGCTGAAAGCTGTTCACACCGCAGGAGCCCCCAGCCCTCTCCTCCCCGCCAGAGATGTCACAGCCTCCCCCCCTCCCCCCCCAGCAACGGCTCGCCCTGAGGGCAGGCCTGCCCCTTCCGCGAGCCGCGGAGACTGGCTTCCGTGTGGGACGGCCTGGGTGGCTCGCTGGCTGTGCCGTGGTCACCCAGGGGCCTGGGCAGAGAGAGAGATGAAGCCTTTGCCGAGCGCAGGCAGCCCCTCTTTGCACACGCCACGCGTTCCTGTTAGGCAGGTTCTAGAACATGCGGGAAAGGCCACTTCGAAACACGAGAGCGGTGGGCACTTGCGTGGTGCCTTCTGTCCACTCAGCGCAGTACTGAGTGCTCACCTCTTCCAGCTCCGCAGTCACCCCTGAGTGAGGCTGTCTGGCTACCTGTATCTTACGGAAGGGGGAAATGAGAAACAGGCTGTAACAGCGTGGTCACACAGCCAGTAGCGTTGGGAGTTGGCTTGGATATGGGAGGTCCAGCTCAGCCTGTTCTACTGACCGCTGGGCTCTATAGCTTTTCAAAACTAAGTTTCCAGGGACTGGCGCTGTGGCTCAGGGGATTAAGCCACTACCACCGCCACCGCCTGCGACGCCAGCATCCCATTTGGGCACCTGTTTGTGTCCCAGCTGCTCCACCTCTGATCCAGCTCCCTGCTAATGGCCTGGGAAAAGTAGGGGAAGATGGCCCAAGCGCTTGGGTGTGGGGTGCAGGTACACACCTGTGCCGTGCGGGGAGCGCCGTCACAGGGTTCTCATATGCTGGCGCTCCTCTTACCAGCACTGCAAGTCCCCCCCCCACCATGGAGAGAGCCTCCCCTTTCTTCCTCCCGGATGGCTCATCTTTGGGGGCGCAGGTGATGGTGGGACTTGGCCGTGACCTTTTCAGATTGTCACAGTTGTGAAATAGGTCACACACATGCCATGTACCATTTCAGCCATTTCCAAGTGCGTAATTCGGCGGCATTAGCCACTGTCCACATCCACGTGGCACACCTGGAGGAAGCTCTCGGCCCCGCCCTGGCCGTCACAGCCATCTGGGGAGTGAGCCAGCGATGGGAGATTCTCTCTCCCTGTCTCTCCTTCTCGCTCTCCAACTCTGACTTTCAAATAAATGAATCTTCGAAAAACAACACTAGGTTTCCAGGCTGCTGAAGCTTTCGGCAGGACACACCCGTGGGAGGATGAGAGAGTCTCCCTCTGCCCTGCCCCCGGTCCTCGGGGTTCACCCCCTGCCTCCAGAGGATGTCTGTCTGACGAGGCCCAGGGCCGACCGCAGGCCTCCCCTGGGACTCCAGCAGCGGAGCTAGGAGGAGACAAGATGAAGGCTTTGTCCCAGAAAGCAGGGCGGTGGTGTCAACGGGAACCCAGGGCTGCCCACACGTCCCATTCCTGGAGAAGCCGCCGGGCTGGGGAACAATGGCGAGACAAGACCTGCCGGCACTTGAGAGAGCCGGGCACCTCTGCCTTGGCTCCAGCCGCCCCAGCCTTGGCCGTCAGCTCTTTCTCTTCGCTCTTGAACTACCCCAGCCCCTCTGATTTGTGCTCGTTTTGCTGTGTCCCAGTGTGAGTTGAGCTCTGTTTCTGGTAACCAAGAGAATATTGAGTGAGAGGCCCCCTCCCTGCTGTGGCCCTAGCTCAGGTCCTTTCTAGTGGGCTTGGTGGAGCCTGGTGTCTCGCCCAGGCCCCGCCGTCCCAGCAGTAGTGAGCCCGTTACACAAAGACACCCTGGGTCCTTTGCTGTTGCGGGCATTAACCTGTGACCTCCACTTGTGTCGTTTTGCTGCCTGAACTCATCCCCCCAAGCCCGGCCAGGCTGTGAGACCCTCCACTTCGGCCCAGTGTCATCGGTCCCCAACCCTCGGGTGCAGCACCCAGGAAAGTGGGCCGCCACGTTTCAGGACTCCCGAGCTGAGCCATATGAGTACCCCAGCAAATCTGAGCAACATGGGAGCAGTGTAGATAGGGCTACAGCACGGTTTTAGGAGACCGTGGCGCCAGGGTGGTTGGCTGCCCCCACCAGCTACGTGGGGTAGTTTTGCCGCCTGTCCCTGGGAACACTCCTGCGGCCTACGTGACTTCCTCAGCTGTGAAAATGGGACGGAGCCCAGAGGACTGACTGTCGATGGAAAGTTCTGAGCACAGAACTTAGCCTAGCTGTCTTCCGCCTGCCTGCTCCTTGCCCTGTGGACGCCCATCACCAGCCGGGCCCTGACGGTGGCTCCGTGAGGTCTGCAGGTCCTCCAGTGCGGGAAGGATCAGCCAGGCGTCCTGCAAGCCTGGATGAGCCCGCCCCACCCCGGGGAGAGGGGCTTTGCCCTTCCTCGGCCGTCAGGGTTCTCTCTTCCTCCCTCAGAATGTGCCAAAGTCTTCCATGCCGCTGGTGCCAAGCTGGTGCTCTGTGGCCGGAACGTGGAGGCCCTGGAAGAGCTCACCAAAGAACTCAGCGCTTCTCACGCCACCAAGGTGAGCCCAGGGCCGTGTTTCGTGTGGGTGTGGGCTGCAGGTGCACACCTGGGCCGTGTGGGGGCTGCCGTCACGGGGTTCTCATATGCTGGCACCCCTCTTACCAGCACTGCAAGTCCCCCCCGATGGAGAGAGTCTCCCCTTTCTTCCTCCCGGATGGCTCATCTTTGGGGCACAGGTGATGGTGGGACTTGGCCGTGACCTTTTCAGATTGTCACAGTTGTGAAACAGTTATGTTGCACACATACCATGTACCGCTTCAACCATTTCCAAGTGCCTAATTGAGTGGTATTACCCACTGTCCGCATCTGCGACTTTGCAACAGCCCCGTAGCCTCCCTCTCACCATGTGTCTCTGTGAGTTGGCCCGCCCCACCCAGGGGGGAGTCGTGCAGTATCCGGGTGCGTTTGTTTCCCTGTCTGACTCACCTCACTTGGCACCACGTCCACAAGCTTGTCTCCAGGCCGCAGCCTGTGCCGGAGGCCCCTTCCTCTTTAAGGCTGGGTAATGTTCCACGGTGCGTACGTGCCACATTCTGCTTAGCTGTGCCCATCGGCGGACACTGGATGGTTTCCACCTTTTGACCACGGTGAGGAAGGCCGCCGTGGCGTGGGTGTACGAGGATCCTCTCTTGGAGTTTCTGCTGTCACTGACCCGGGACAGACGCCTAGGGGCAGAATTGCCCGGAGGTCTCTGTTCACCCTGGGGAGGGGCCGCAGTAAGGCCACGGTCTCTCCACCCCCCACCCCCGGCAGTGCCGCAGTCCGGTTTCAGCCTGCCCTCCTGTAACCCTTGGGACGCCTCCATCCTGGGAGGTAGGACGCGAGAGCTCGCCGTGCGTCCGACCTGCGTCTCCCGAGTCGCAGGCGATGCCGAGCGTCTTCTGTGTGTGCCGGGCACTTGTGTATCCTCGAGCGGTGTCCCGCTCCCTTGCCCTGCTCACAGTCATGTGGTCGTCACTGCTGGCTTGCGGCATTCTGTGTGTGTGCTGGACTTCCAGTCCTTAGATACTGTCTCTCCCATCGAGTAGATCGTCTTTTTCAGTTTTCTTCATTCTGTCCTTTGAAAAAAATCATTCCTTTTGGTGGATGAAACCCAGTTCATCGGTGTTTTTTTTTTTGCCTGTGCCTTTGGTCACATCCATACACTTGCCGCCAAGTCCAGTGTCAGGTAGGTCTCCCCACGTTTCCTCCTGTGCGGGTTTTCACGCTCACGTCTGACCCAGCGGAGTTAGTGGCACTGTGCGGTGTGAGACCAGTCCAGCGCCCCCTTGGACAGCACTGCTGGCTGACTGTGCTTGCTGGATCTGTGTGGCGCCTGGGGAGAGAATCAGCTGGGCGCGTACGCTGAGGCTCTTTATTCTGTTGCATTGGTGATTACTACATCTGTCAATGTCGGTGCTGTACTCTTTCTTTTTTTTTTTTTAAAAGATTTTATTTATTTATTTGAGAGGTAGAGTTACAGACAGTGAGAGGGAGAGACAGAGAGAGAGGTCTTCCACCCGCTGGTTCACTCCCCAGATGGCCACAACAGCTGGAGCTGCACTGATCTGAAGCCAGGAGCCAGGTGCCTCTCCTGGTCTCCCATGTGGGTGCAGGGCCCAAGCACTTGGGCCATCCTCCACTGCACTCCCAGGCCATAGCAGAGAGCTGGCCTGGAAGTGGAGCAGCTGGGGCATGAACCAGTGCCCATCTGGGATGCTGGCACTGCAGGCGGCGGCTCTACCCACTATGCCACAGCGCTGGCCCCGTGGGTCATCTCTTAAAAAGATCTGTTCTGGCTGTCTCTCTTGCTTGGAGAGGTTAGCCTGCTTACCACGCATGGAATCACGGGAGAGGGAGTTCTGCCCATTTTCTCTCTCCCGCATGCCTCCTAGCTCTCCCCTCACTCTTCCTTTACTGCGCCCGTTTGCGTTTGGTTGAATTATTTTGGTATGAAATGCTTTGATTCCCTTCTCTTCCCCACCTGTATGTTTTCGTCGCGGTCAGCTGGGAATTACAATCTAAGGTGCCACAGCTACAACACTAATTGAAATGCATACCAATTAGTTTCAGTGGCTAGGAAGACTCTGTCCAGCCCTCCCAGGCTCTCTTTCTGCTATAAGCGTAACAATAGGTTTGCTCCATAGGCTGTAGCTGTTTGTTATTCATCGTCTTTATAGTGGCCTCCAAAGCCAACATCACACCGCAGGCTCTGGGAGCCCCCCCCCCCCCGCCCCCCCCCCGCCCCGCGTGGCCGCCGCTCCCTCTGCTCCCGAGCCTGGAGGCCCTGAGTGCTTCCCGTATCTGGGAACATCTTGGTTTTCCCTTCATTTTTGAAAAAACAGCTGTGCCAGACACAGCATTCTTGTGTTTCTGTTTATTTGTTTTTGCTCTTAGCACTTTGAATATGTCAACCCCACGGGCCTTGGCTTTCAAGGTTTCTGATGAAAATCCCACCGAGGGTCACCTTGAGGACCCCTTGTACGTGAGGACTGCTCTGCCCTCGCTGAGCTCAGTCCCCGCTTGTCCCTGTGATTTCTGTCTCCCGACGGCTTCGCTGTGTGTATCCGCGAGTCTCCTCCCCACGTCCTCACCTGGAGTACCTAAGACACAGTTGTGTCCAAGCCTTTGCCTGGTTGAGTACATCACGTGGCTTTCTCAGGCGTGTTTGCCAGAGGCTTGTTTATGTTTTTGCACCTCTCCCCCAGACGGGTAGAGCACCTTTAACTGCACTGGAACTGGGGCTGCCATGAGGGGTAGCGGGTGGAGCCCCTGCTTGTGATGTCGGCACCTCCGTGCTGGGGCGCCAGGTTGTAGTCGGGCTGCCCCACTTGCGATACAGCTCTCTGCTAGAGGTGCCTGTGGGAAGCAGCAGGTGTTGGCCCAACTACTTGGGCTCCTCCCACTCACGTGGGAGACCTTGATGGGGTTCCTGGCTCCTGGCAGCCATCTGGGGAGTGAACTAGCAGCTGGAAGACCTGTCTCCCTCTTAGTGCCAGTCTGCCTTTCAAATAAATACATCTTCTTTTTTAAAAAATCATTTATTTATTTCATTTAAAAGGCAGAAATACAGAGAGAGAAGGAGAGAGATACAGAGTGTCTTGCATCCATTGGTTCACTCCACCAAGTGGCCGCGACGGCCAGGGCTGAGCAAAGCCGAAGCCAGGAGCCAGGAGCTTCTTCTGGGCCTCCCACGTGGGTGCAGGGCTCCAGGCACTTGGGCCATCTTCTGCTGCCTTCCCAGGTGCATTAGCAGGGAGCTGGATGGGAAGTGGAGGAGCTGGGACTTGAACCAGTGCTCATATTAAGGCAGGCGGAGGCTTAACCACAGCGCTGGCTGCAATAAATAAATCTTAAAACAAACAAAGGGAAGCCTACTCGAGGCCGCTTTGGCTGGTGATGGTTGAAACAATGCTTATGTACTTCCGTGCTGCCCCCCAGCCAGGTGAGCCCCTGACCCAGACCTCAAGGTCAAGGTCCTTCTTGCCCATTCTGGTTCCCTCCAGCCACCCCAGAGGTATGGGCTGCCTTTCCCACAGCTGACGGCCGCCGGACCCAGATGGCCCCACCAAGCCGAAACTAACCACAGCCTACCGGCAGGGCTGTGTGATACCATACCCAGTAACAGCGTCCGGGTCTGCCCCCGACCCTTTATTTCAGGACAGCGACCCCCTGCCCGCCTGGCTGGTCCTGCTCTCCAGCCCCAAAGCTTGAGTCTTCCTGATGAGGTCTGAGCAAGGTGCTGAGGGGCCAGCTCCAACCAGCTCAGGCTGGCTCCCTGTTGGATCTGAATGTGTAGTCTCCCCTCTGCCTCCTGATGTGGGAACAGATCAGCCGTCCTCCCTGGCCCGGCATCCTGGGCCCAGGTTATCCCCAGGAAGCCTTCGCTCTCCCGGAGCTCCCTTCTTCACTTCCCCAAGTCCCATCCTGGGGAACAGAAGCCCCCCTCGCCCCCCGCGCTGGCAGCTGCAGACCCCAGAGACCCAGCAGACACTTGGAGACTCAGGCTGGGCTCCTGCGCCACCTCTGCCCTCACCCCGACTCGTCCCGCTGGTTTCTGCCCCCTCGCTCCCGCGGGGAAGCCCCCGAAGTGAGCTTGCGCAGTGACTCGTTCTCCAGCAACATTCACAGCCAGGGGCTGGTCTGTGCCTGCTGCTGGGTCCCCTGCCTGGCGCGGGGGCGTGCGGGGCGGGGGGGGGGGCGTATAAAGAACATTTCACAAGCAGGTGAAGCCGAGTGGCCTAACCTGGGCCGGCCAGCACCCGCGGGGCTCCGCTGAATGCCGTGGCTGCCCGGGAGGAGTGGGCAGGCAGAGCATCAGGCCTGACCCTGGCCTGTGCCCGACCCCCAGGCAGGGCGGGGCAGGAGTGGCCCCTAGATTAAGTCCGAGGCTCCCGCCGCCCGGAAGCAGCCCGGGCCGCCGCCCCTTGGGAAGAGGGTTGCTGCAGGCAGGCGGGTCCCTAAGCAGGAGCGCGTGGTTCACGTGGCCGGTCCCTGAGGTGTGTCTGCTGTCTGTGGCATTTGACCAGGTGCAGACGCACAAGCCTCACACAGTGACCTTCGACCTCACAGACCCCGGGGCCGTAGCCACAGCAGCCGCCGAGATCACACGGTGCTTCGGCCACGTGGACATCCTCATCAACAATGCCGGCATCAGCTACCGCGGGGCCGTCCAGGACACCACACTGGACGTGGACAAGAGGGTCATGGAGACAAACTACTTCGGCCCGGTTGCTCTGACGAAAGGTATCGGTCTGGGGCCGGAAGGGAAGAGAGCCTGGCCCGGCCTCCCTCACCGGGCTCAGCCCCACCGGGCCCCATCCTCCCCGTCACCCTGGGCATTTGCTGCACCTGGCTGATCCAGATGCTCCCCCCAGTGACGGGCTCAGCTCCTCTCCTGGGTGGCCTGTGGCTGGCACTGGCAGAGGGAATTCTGCGGGCAGCGGAGGGGGCTCCCGCGGGTCTCCCCGGCTGGCCCGGGGGTGGCCCAGCCTGCGCCCTCTCTCCTCAGCACTCCTGCCCGGCATGCTCAGGAGGCGGCAGGGCCACGTCGTGGCCATCAGCAGCGTCCAGGGCAGGATCGGCATCCCCTTCCGGTCGGCCTGTGAGTACTGCCCCCCCACCCCCGCTGTCTTTACTCCTGGTCGTAAAGCTGCCACAGGGTGGGCACTTCCCAGGAGGCGTTCCCCCCCCCCCCGGGGCTTCAGGTGCCAGGGCGCTCCGAGCCGTGCACCCCCCAGCAGGTGGATCGGGCCTCCGCCGGCCCCTCTGCCGGCCGCTACGCTGTCACGCCCCGGGCGGAAACGTTGAGCACGTTGGGGCTGTGACATGAGATCTGTGCGTCCTCTCCGTCTCCTGAAACTCTGGCCGGGGGCCCTGGGCGGCTGCGGCATGGGGGTGGTCGCTGGGAGGTACCAGGGCGGGACAAGAAGGCGGGGCCTCAGGAGGAGGAAGTGGCGCCGAGTGGCCGGTGGTGCGTCAGTTGTGGCTGTGTGGCCAGTGCGGCTCCCCGGAAACCCCAGAGAACGGCGTTCCTTGCTTCCACACAGCTGGACCCGGCGGGTCCTGGAGGCGGCGCCCCGGGGGGAGGGCAGGGCGGCCGCACAGCCCCGCAGTCTCTCGCCCACGTAGCTTCCATGGCCCCCGGGACACGCGCCCCCCCCAGCTCCCTGGGCCGCACGTGTGGACGTGAGGAGGGGTCCTGGCAATCCACGGGTGAAAACCTGGGGCCTTGCGGCTGCCGTCCACCGTGGGGGGCAGGGGCCATCTCGGGACCGAGCCCCCAGCCACGGCCAGGTGGGCTGGGTCAGGACGGGGTGAGTTAGAGGATCCCCCAGCTGCTGGCATGGTCTGACCCCACCCGTGGCGAGTGCAGCTGTGGGGGGGGGGGCGGGCGTGGACTTGGTTTTGCTGCTGGGCAGCACGTGCCACCAGGTTTTCCTGCGTGGACTCAAACACAGAATGACGGGGCGCGCAGTGGGAACCCTCCCGCGCGGCAGGGTGCGTCTTGGCAGCGGGCCGTGGCCCTGCCGCAGCTAAGGATGTGACTTCGTTACACAGTGGCAGGTACACGGAGTGTAGGTTGTTTTTTTTTTTTTTTTAATTGATTTGAAAGGCAGAAAGAGAGAGCTGCAAATTGCTAGTTCACTCCCCAAATGTCCCGACAGCTGAGGCCAGACCCAGGAGCCTGTAACTCAATCCGTCTTGCACGTGGGCGGCAGGAACCCCATTACTTGAGCCGCCCCTGCGGCCTCCCCAGGTCCTGGCTGATCGGCACCGATCGGCACGTGTGTCATAAATACAGCCCCCCCCCCCGGGCGTGTGTGCGCATGCGTGAGCGAGAGTGAGCAGGCAAGAGGATAGGAGTGAGGGGTGGGCGGGGTGGATGGGCGGCAGCCCCCGCCCGGCAGGGCACCCACCACCCACCACCCACCGCCCCGCCCCGCAGACGCGGCCTCCAAGCACGCGACCCAGGCCTTCTTCGACTGCCTGCGCGCCGAGGTGGAGCAGGATGAGATCGAGGTGACGGTCATCAGCCCTGGCTACATCCACACCAACCTGTCGGTCAACGCCGTCACGGCGGACGGCTCCCGATACGGAGGTGAGGCCCGGCCGGCCGCAGAGGGCGCTCGCCTCCGGGAATCCCTGGTCACTTTTACGTGGAACATACTGTCACAGGAGACGTGCCGCAGGGGCGGGGGACTCCTCTCCATCCCAGCCGCCCCGTGCCCGGGTCCCGGGGCCAAGGCGGTCAGCCCCCACCCAGTGTGCCTGACCAGTGACCCGCTTCAGGGTCTCCCTCCCGTCCCACGCGCTGGGGCCGCTGGGGCCGGCCTGCCCTCCCCCTCCAGCGCAGCCCCCCAGTGCCTGCCTCATTGAGAACAGCTGCTCGGCCCTCCCGGGGTCTCCTGGAGCCCTGGGTCCCCCCAGAACCCCGGAAGGCTTCCCTGTGGTACTCGGCAGCGGGTAGAGCTGGGCCTTCCTGGCCGTGAGCTGGTAGCGCCCGCGGGGCCAGGCCACCCTGCCACGGGTTGTTCCGGCCGTCAGAGGTCAGGAAGCCCCTCCTCAGGCGGGGCTGGGCCTTGCTTGGAGTGCGCTCCGGCTGGCCTCTGCCCCAGACCACCAGGCAGTGACCGGGGTCCCATCGTCCTGGACCCTGCGTCTCCCCAGAGCGCAGAGTCGGCAGGGGAGGCCCTGCGCTGCCCCAGGCCTCATGTTTGCGTTGTGTTGTGTTTACCTCAGCCATGGACCAGAACACAGCCCAGGGCCGCAGCCCCGCCGAGGTGGCGCGGGCCGTGCTGGCCGCCGTGGGGAGGAAGCAGAAGGACGTGGTGCTGGCCGACCTGCAGCCGTCCCTGGGCATCTACCTGCGCACTCTGGCGCCCGGGCTCTTCTTCCGGCTCATGGCCTCCAGGGCCAGGAAGGAACGCAAGGCCAAGGACTCCTAGGGCCGCCTCCTGCCTCCCCAGGGGTGAGGGGCAAAGGTGAGAGATAAAAATACGCAATAAACAGCCAGGCCCCCGGTGCTCCAGGCCTGGAAGAAGCTCGCGTCTCTGAATTCCAGCCCTGCCAGCTCCTGGAAGTCGGCGTCAGAACCGCCATGTGCGAGGTCCGCACCGACTGCTGGGGTGCAGGCCACACCTAAAAGGAACCCCCATCCCCCCCACCCGCTCTCAGCACAGCCCCTGGACGGCGGATGAGCGCACTGGGCGACAGCGGCCGACAGGGGGCGCAGGAGGCTGCCCGGCCCAGCGTGCTCTGGGAAGCCGGCGGAGGGGCAGGGCCCGGACCCAGGCCCCTGGCGCAGGGCGGCCTGCAGTGGTTGGCCTGCTTCCACTCTGTAGGGGCTCCCTGAGCCAGCCTCACTTCTCAAGTTGAGGGAGCAGCCCACTGTACACTTCCCGAAATTGGAATAAAATCCTCCCAGTGTGGACACCTTGCTCCGAGTCCCAACTCTGGCCCGGCTGGGCTGGCGTCTTCTGTCTGATGAAGCTCCACCTAGACCTCCCACGTGGGTGGCAGGCACCCAAGCACCCGAACCATCATGGCTGCCCCTCCAGGTCTGCGCCAGTCCAGGGCTCAAACCCGGGCACTTGGACGCAGGACTCAGGCATCCTAAGCCCTAGGCCCCACGCCTGCCCGGCCCGCGACAGGTGACGCGAGATGCAGGTGCACACAGGATGGGCCTCAGCTCAGTCTTCCGCAGCCGCCGCTCTAGAGCTCAGCCCGGGTCAGCAGGACGCCCAGGGTGCAGCAGTAACGGCACGATGCCACCCGGGGCCTGGCCGTCTCTCCATGAGGCCGAGGTGTCTGGTTTGGGAGCCCTGTGACAGGCCCACACCCCAGCACCGTGGGAGGTTCATTTACCTAACATTTTAAAAAAACCAATGCACTCTGTAAAACCTACTCTGTGGTCAGTGACACACATAGGAAACTACACGGTGCGACCTGAGCAGCCACTCCAAGCTCCATGCAGCGGTCTGCCGCGAGGCCCAGGGCCTGCTCCTCCCGGTCAGAGGCTGAGGCCTGTGGGCCCGTGCGCCCTGGAGTCCACACTGCTCTGAACTGAAGCCGCCTCGCCCCAGGACAGGGCACCCTCAACGAAGGAAGCGCAGGTGTGCAGGGCCCTTTCTCGGGGCCCGATCCGGCTCCTGCTCGCAGCTCTTGGCTCTATGCTTGGCTTTGCCGCACGACCATGTGCCACCTGGGGCAGTCCCATGGCTCTGCTCCGGTACTCACCTCTGTCCACAAAGCACGGGGTATGTCGGGGCCCCCACGCGTCCCACTGCTCGGAGATGCTCTGTACTTTGCTCCTCGGGCCTGGGGGTGTCGAGTTTCCTGCCAGCGCAGACCGGTGCGGGAGGCTCTGGGGAGGGCCCCGTGGTGTTCTTGGTCTCCCAGTTTTGGCCCAGCCCAGTCCCAGCTATTGTAGATATCACGGAGCAGACAGGAGCTTGTTCTCAAAAAAGAAGTCGACTAAAAAACCACCACCACAAAGACCAGGCCGGTTTACCTCGAGGATGGCCTGATCTTCCCAGGCCGTGGTACCACACGGGAGGGCCGCGGGGACGAGGCCTTGGGGTGACTGCACACTGTCCCTGCAGCAGCTGCCACAGCACAGGCCCAGGAAGTGACAGCCCCTCTGACCTGGCTCCCCGCACCCGCAGAGCCCCCGCCCTTTGCACCCGGTTTCTGTTTGGGGGGTGGGCTTCTGCTCTGCTTGTCATTCCCGCCTGGCCAAGGGGCCGCAGGCACCGCTCTCACAGCTGACCCTGTGTGGCCCAGGCAGGCGCTCTGATTGGGTCCCTGACGTCGAATGGCCACCCTGGGCCCCGAGAGCCCCGCCCCCAGGCTGCGCCCCCCTTCTGGACTGGTGTCAGATGCGGGGGACTCCCTGGCTGTCCTGGCGGAGGCAGGCCTGAGGAGTGGAGGTGGGGGAATAAGGCAGGGCGGGCCCACCAACCCAAAGCCGGAAGTCCCAGAGCCGACTTCCCGTGTGCTCCTCGCCAGACCCACCCCCTGCGGAAGGGTCCCGGGCTCCCCCCACCCCCGCGCGCCAGGGCCAGCCCCGGGACCCCCGCCGCAGCAGCCAATCAGGGAAGGAGAACGGCGGGCGCTGAAATTGTCATCATTTTAATGGTCAGCAGCTTCTGGTCGGCTCTGGATGGTGCAGTTTAACAGCTCACGTGAAGCCCCCCCAAGCGCGCACCCCCGCCAGCGCCGCCACCGCACCCCACGCGGCCTCGGCCCTTGCCGGCCGCGGGAAGCCGCCTCTTAGTGTAACGAGCTGGAAACCCCTTGGCACACCCATGATCTATGAACCGCACACGTCGGCGGGCCGCAGTCATACGGCGCAGAGCTCGTAGACCTTCTTTACACAGTACACCAGCGCGGCCAGCGCCACCGTGTTGTGCAGTCTCTTCCTGTGCAGGTCGTCCTTGCGCACCAGCACCACGGGCGTGGACGAGGTGAGCGTGTGCAGCGGCAGGCGCGACAGTTTGTAGGCGTCGTACTCCACCTGGTACTTGCAGCACGGGTCGAACTGCCACGAGATGCCGTAGAGCGTGCAGCAGGCCAGGCTCAGCACGCCGGCCGGCAGGGAGATGTAGTGCGAGTAATCCAGCGGCAGCGCCCAGGGCGTGCAGAGGCACGCGGTGCCCGCCAGCACGGCCGTCTTGTGCAGGCAGTTGCCCACGGTGATCCAGCGCGCCGTCTCGTCGCCGATGCGCGTGGGCTCGATCACGATGTACTTGTACTGGGCCTCCAGGGCCTGCTCCAGCTCGTACTCAAACTGGTCCTGCGCGTTCTCCCCATTGTAGATCTCGTGCACGATGTAGCAGTCGGTGGCCGACAGGCTCACCCTGGGGAGAGAGGGCAGAGGGTGAGGCTGAGAGGCGCGGAGCCCAGGCTCCCGGGACGCCCACGCCCGGGGCAAGCGGCGGCAGCGGCGCCGAGGTCTCCGTCCACGGGGTCACCCGGCCAGACCCCGTTCTGAGAAAACACAACGGGCACCTAAGAGGGGACAGCAACAGGCCACCTGCAGTGGGGAGGAGCACTGGAAGCCCCCAACACAGACACACAGAGAAGAGGGGGACGGCCGGCTGCGCCCTGGAGAACCAAACTCCCAGCCGTCTGGCCCCACAGGCCTTCAGAGCCAGGCCTCACTCAGCCCTTGGGGGCAGGTCACCGGAGCGCCTCTTGCAGGACTGACTGGCCCCCGACATGGGCACAGCCCCCGCTGGCGAGAGAGGTTTCCAGAACCGCGTGAGCCCTCGGCTCCGCGGCCCTGTAGCCTGGCATTTAGCGGCTCTGGGTTCGGACCTGAACACAGTGCCGTATTTCCCTGGCCTGTTCCGCCTGCCCGGGGCGGTGTGAAGCTGCAGGCCACCAGCAGCACAGCGGGCAACAGCACTGGCGACAGCCTGGGGGGATGTGGGAGGCGGGGGCTGTGGCCCGTGGGTTAGGCCTCCACTCCTAACACCTGTGTCCCATAGCACGGCCCAGTTTGAGTCCCAGTTGCTCCGCTTCCGATCCAGCTCCTTGCTACTGCACCAGACGACGGCCCAGCTGCCCTGGTCCCAGCCACCCACATGGGACACCAGCTCCTGGCTCAGTCCCAACTGTCGTGGCCACTTGGGGAGGGAACCGTGGATGGAAGACGTTTCTTTTGGTAGATCTTCCTTTCAAACAAGTCTTTAAAATGGAGATTTGGACACAAAAAACATTGGGATCCACACACACTCCTATTTCTCCTTGTTTTAAGCCACCTGCTTTCCTGACAGGAAGCCATTTTTAACAAGGTTTTTAGGGGGCGGCGCTGTGGTGTAGCGGGTAAAGCCGCCGCCTGCAGTACCGGCATCCCATGTGGGCACCGGCTCGAGTTCCGGCTGCTCCACTTCCCATCCAGCTCTCTGCTGTGGCCTGGGAAAGCAGTAGAAGATGGCCCAAGTGCTTGGGCCCCTGCACCCACGTGGGAGACCTGGAAGAAGCTCCTGGCTTTGGATCGGCGCAGCTCCAGCCTTTGGGGCCAACTGGGAGTGAACCAGCGGATAGAAGACTCTCTCTCTGCCTCCTTCTGTGTAACTCTTTCAAATAAATAAATAAATCTTTAAAAATTTTTATTACTATTATTATCATTATTAGAAAGGCAGAGGTCTTCCACCCGCTGGTTCACTCCCTAGATGGCCACAATGCCACGGCTGGGCCAGGCCAAAGCCAGGAGCTTCTCCCAGGTTCCCCATGCGGGTGCAGGGTCCCAGTACTCGGGCCATGTTCCTCTGCTTTCCCAGGTGCACCGGCAGGGAGCTGGATGGGAAGCGCAGCAGCCGGACTCAAGTTGGTACCCAAATGGGATGCCAGCACTGCAGGCAGCAATTTAACCCGCTGTGCCATGGCGCCAGCCCAGGAAGCCTTCCGTATCCAAGTCAGACAGGGCCAGACCAGGTTTTCTAACTCAATATTACCGCCCAGAGCCGGGGTGGGACGGTACAGCCCAAGGGCCTCAAGCCCTGTGAATCGCCTGGTGTGCACCAGCGCAGGCAGCCTACAGTGGGTCACTTTTAGGTCAATGGCTTTGTCCTGCAGGGTGATATAAATATCCAAGCAGCCCTCAGCAGAAAAAAAGTTCCCGCCCCTGCCAGACTCCTTCCACGCCACTCCAGAAGGGCTCGCACCGGAAGCTACTTCCAGCAGACCTAAGAGGAGGCTCTGCTCTGGCTGTGTAGGCGGGCCCCCAGAGCAGAGAGCGGGGACTCCACTCCGGGAGGAGCCCCCGATCGCTCTGGGCAAGGCGATTCCCCAGGGAAAGTGCCTGTAGTTCAGCAGCGCCGAGGTGGAGCCCCAATCACAGCACCGGCGCTAACGAAGCTGTGTGCTCCGGGGCGAGACCCGTTCCCCAGGGGAGAGCAGGGGTGCTGCCTGGCGTCCTGCATCCGTGCCCGCTGCAGGGAGAGCCCGCCCGGGACAAAGGGTGTCCCTCCCGGGTCCTGCCCCATCGTCGGGGAACTCCACTCCAAGGGCTGCAGAGCAGGGGACAGACCATGCATGCGGCCACCTGCCAGTGAGGGTGGCTTCCTGTCCATGTCATCCCACCGCCACCCACGGACACGAGCATGGGGCATGGTGTGCAGGCAGGAGTCCACGCCCCCAGAGGGGACCCCCGGTGCCTGCCCCCAGGACACTCAAACACAAGTACTGGCCCAGCCCTGGAAGCTGACAGCACCCACTCTGAAGTCGAGCCAATTTCCAGGGTACACAGCGGGAAGGGCGGCACGGTTCAAACCAGGACAGGCACGAAGCAGGGGGATCCCTGTCAGAGCCCCAGCTGCCTGGCACCTACTACCCACGCGTGCTCCCGTTTCTGGCTGAAGGGTGACCTACGGCAGGAACAGCCTGTGAGGTGCCTAGGGCCCTGTGCACCTGCCCGGCCTGCAGGGCAGGGGAGTGGCACCACCCAGTCCCTGGCCCACTGGGCGGGTGCAGAGCCAGTGGCCCCTGCTTGGTCTTGAGAGGGGACCAGCGAGGGAGCCGGGTGCGGGGCAAGTGCCTGCCGAGCCGACGGAGGGCCTGGGGCGGCGCCCAGCTCCTGCCACCCACAGCGGAGACCTGGACTGAGTTCCTAGCACCGAATGCAAGCACAGACGCCGCTGCAGGCACCTGGGGAGTGAAGCAGAGGCTCCGAGCTCTCGCTTTCTGCTTCTGTGCCTCGCAGATATGTTTAAAGAGTATAAAAAGTGCCTTTTTTTTTTTTTTTGAAGATTTATTTACTTATTTGAAAGGCAGAATCACAGAGACAAAGAGAGAGAGAGTCTTCCATCTGCCAGTTCACTCCCCAGATGGCCACAATGGCTGGAGCTGTGCTGATCCGAAGCCAGGAGCTTCTTCTGGGTCTCCCACGTGGGTGCAGGGGCCTTGGGCCACCTTCTACTGCTTTCCCAGGCCATGGCAGAGAGCTGGATCAGAAGCAGAGCAGCCAGGACTCAAACCAGCGCCCATCTAGGATGCTGGCACTGCAGGCAGCAGCTTTACCCGCTACGCCACAGCGCTGGCCCCACATTGTGGCACTGTGGGTTAAGCCACTGCCTGTGATGCTGACATCCCACATCAGAGCACTGGTTCGAGTCCCAGCTGCTCCACTTCCAATCCAGCTCCCTGCTACTCCCAGGGGAGACCCAGATGGAGTCCCAGGCTCCTGGCTTTGACCTGGCCCAACCCTATCTGTTGCAGCCATTTGGGGAGTGAGTCAGTGGGTGTAAGTTCTTTTTCCCTCATCACCCCACCTTTCAAATACATAATCAATGAGTGAAGTAGTGCTGGGAAAGCCAAGACCCCGTGTCTACAGTGTGCCAGCTGAAAACAGACGGAAGGCCTCACTGTCACCAGGGAGGGGGCTGCGTGGCTCGGAAAGGAAAGCCCCCACCCGGCTTGGATCCGTTTCAGTCTGGCATCACTCTGCCTCACACTGCCTCCTGCCCTCAACTCTCCAGCAGGGCAGGGCAGTGCAGGGCGTGGGCCCTGGGGCTGCTGACGGTCCCCTAAGGCCCCACAGGACAGCCTGTGTCCCTGTGAGGCCAGGCGCCCAGCCCCAGGCCTGCAGTCCACCCGCGCCGGGCTGCTCTCCCTGTTCACGTTGAGAGCTGGTGGGAAGAGAGCCGCAGGCATGCCTCAGTGGGACCACACCTCCACAGCTCATGGCCCTGGGAGCCTGACACTGGGGGTCACCATCCCAGCAGTCACCACCCAGACAGCTGAGGGGTGAGACGGCCTGTGCCTGTCTTGCTGTGTGGACCAGGGCAACACTGAGTCCCTTCTTCTTTCTTTATATATAAAGATTTACTCTGTTTATTTGAAAGGCAGTTACTGAGAGAAAGAAAGGGAGGCAGAGAGATCTTCCATCCACCTGTTCTCTCCCCAGATGACCACACTGGCTACAGCTGGGCCAGACTGGAGTTTCGGGGGCCCCAGCACTTGGGCCATCTTCCACTGCTTTCCCAGGTGCATCAGGATCCAAAGCCAGGAGCTTCTTCCGGGTCCCCCACACGGGTGCAGGGGCACAAGGACTGGACCATCTTCCACTGCTTTCCCAGGGCATAGCAGAGAGCTGGATCGGAAGAGGAGCAGCCAGGACTGAAACCGGCGCCCACATGGGACGCCGGCTTTACCCTCTTCGCCCCCCAGTGCTCATTCCCTACCTGAACTGTGGTGAGATAGGTAGTAAATCTCCCACCTGTGCTGGCACTGGGGTACAGGTTAAGCCGCTGCTCCCAACACTGCCATCCCACGTGTGAGCACTGGGACTCCCGGCGGCTCCTTTCCCTGCTGGTGTACCAGGGAAGCAGCGCAGACACTCGGCTGCTTGGGGCCCTGCCACCCAACGTGGGAGACCAGCTCTGAGCTCCAGGCCCCTGGCTCTGGCCTGGCCCAGTGCTGGGGTGCCGCCGTCTGGGGGAGTGAACCAGCAGATGGAAGCTCGCTCGCTCTTCTTTTTGTCTCTCCCTGTCACTCTGCCTTCAGGTAAAATAACAAAAATAATAGTAAGTACCACCCTGACCATGAAGTGACTCACTCCTGTGTGATCCATCTCCAGAACTCCCAGCCCTGTGCACCTCCCGGGGAGAGCCACCGCGCCCTCACCTCACCCGGCACACGGTCCTCAGACTCCCCACCTCACTGTGGCCCACCAGAACCGCCCTCCCGCTCGAGGTGGGTGACGCGCCCCCCACTCTGCACAGGGCTCCAAGGCCTCGCCGGCACTGGCTCCTGGCTGCTTGGTTTAACAGTTGCCATTCCAAGGGAAGGCGGTGGTAAATCTCACTGGGACTCCCCTTGCTATCTCGTTTGTATTTGTATTTTTGATTTGTGC